CATATCACCCAGCTCCCAGTCACAGCAGGTCCGGAGAAGTACGACGCTATCCTCGTAGTAGTCTGCCGACTCACCAAGCAGGCCATATATGTTCCATGTCATACGACGAATAACGCGGAGGACTTCGCCAACCTTTTCATAACACACGTCTTCTCAAAACATGGGATGCCCTCCAATGTCATGTCAGACCGAGGTTCCCTATTTGTGTCTCAATTCTGGAGGGAACTTTGCAGAGTGTTAGGGATCGAGTCTCGCCTATCCACAGCATATCACCCCCAAACAGATGGGCAAACGGAAATGTGTAAACCAGTCGGTAGAGGCATATCTCCGAATTTACTGCGCCTACGACCAAGATGATTGGGACCTCCTGCTTCCCATAGCCGAGTTCATGTACAATAACACCCCCAACACCACGACAGGTGTCTCACCCTTCTTTGACAACAAAGGATATCACCCGAAGTTGTCAATTACGTTGGAACGGGTACAGGGAGCGGAGGTCAACGAGTACGCCTCAAACCTCAAGGAGCTACATACGTACCTCCAGGAACGAATTCGAACAGCTAACGAGGGATATATGAAGTATGTGAACCAAAAACGTCAGGAGGCCCCGGACTGGAAGGAGGGCGATCAAGTTTGGCTGAATATGGAGAATGTCAAAACTAGGTGACCCATGAAAAAAATGGATCACAAATGGACGAGACTGTACTCGATACTCTCGCAAATAGGGAGTCATGCCTACCGGTTCGACCTCCCGGGAGACCTCCACAAGATCCACAACGTGTTCCACGTGGATAGACTGAAGCCCCACTTCCACGACAAATTCAAACGACAGAACTCCCCACCCCCTCCAATCTTCGTAAAAGGGGAATTGGAACACTTCGTGGAGAGCATCCTAGATTCCAGACCCGTTAAAGGGAAGTCGGAGGAGGTGGAATACCTGGTTAAATGGGAGGGTTACGATGATGACTTCAACTCGTGGGTGGGATGGAGAGGAATGGCAGGCTCACTGGAACTTGTAAAACAGTGGCACGGCACACACAACCGAAAGCGGAAACTAAGGAGGGACCAATGGGAATTACTGGAGAAGCAAGCAAAGGATGACAGAGGGGAAGGAACGGGATCACCAGGGGGCACAGGAAGCGAGAGCAGAGAGGAGGAGGGAGAGAGACGGAGGAGCACGAACTAACGAATAACGGACAACACAACACGACGAACAAATTATGATTTCCTCATTTTCTTTTCCAAACTTCATTTTCATATTATCTTCATTCACTCACTCAGCGTGCTACCCACAAACCACATCGAACGCCTATCAGTCTATATTCAAGAAATGGACTACGCGACGCTAAGCAAAACATACAAAAAAAAACAACAGCAAAAAATTAATAAAATCGCACAGCAGACTACAATACGGGACTAGACCTCTCGCTTTTAACCGACACATCACCCTGCACCCTAGCTTCAAATTCCTCATGGGTCTCATAAAGATCCTCGCCATCATCATCCATCATCATGAGGTCGATAACGTTGGGAACGACAGGGACGGAGGGAAGGGGAATGGGGGATGAAGGAGAACGAGAATCAGGGAGGAAAAGGGGAGCCCCTGAACCTCCCTCAGGACGATCCCTGCTACCCTCCTCCACGGGTGTGGTGGTGTTCCGACAAACAGCAGTGCCCACTCCCCCTTCCCCCTCCACAATTCCCTTGGGAACACTCTCGTTGTTTCCTCCTGCTAAAACCGAATCTGTCGAAAGGGAAGGACCGCTCCCAACGTCAGGAAGTTCCGTCAGAGAAGGAAACGAGTACTGGGGACCTGAGGTGTCAATCATATTGCGAATATAATTGGCGATGAGACGCTCCCAGAAGACCATAATGAAATCCATAGCAGGGACGGCGGGGAGGTGATCAGAGGTAGGGGAAGGCAAAATCGGGATGGGATGGTCAAAGGAGAAGAATCTCCTATGAAGGGGAGGTTCCAAGGAACCAGGACGAGCATCTACATATCCGGCGTGTTGCGCGGCAGTAACAAAGGCGTCGTGAGAAGGGAAACGCAAATGAGTCAACATCTCCTGGTATAAACCTCCAACCCGGTCCGCCGCGTTGGAATAGTAATACAGAAGACTGCTTGTCGACCGAAGATGTAATTCGCCATGGGTGAAGCGAGCCTGGGACAAGTAATCCAAAACGAAGTTGATAACGGAGGCAAGACGGTCGGGACTGTGATGAAGACCGCGCTACAGGAGGAGGGTGATGGCCTCCAGGAGACCCCCTACGTACCGGTTATAGTAATGGAGCAGGTTGGCAGGATCAGATCGGTAGAGTCGGTGGGCGAAAGTGGCCAACCGACGAACTAACGCCTCCGAGGCATCAAGCTTCCATTGCAACTCCGAGAGGGAGGGCAATTCAACCTCGTACAGACCCTCATCTTCGGGGTACTGTCTAATCAAACCCTCTGCAACATGAGCCCTATTCCGATACTGGCAAACCAACTCCTCTAACTCCTCCAGACGATCTCGTTGACACAGTGCACGAGCATTAGCAGCGTCAAGATCTGAGTAAGCATTGAAGGAACGATTGCTGGCATCATCGACTTGCTTGCGGAGCTCCCCGAGTTCCTCCTTTTGACGCTTCGCCACCTCCCTGTAGGCATCCGACCCAGCATAAGCAATACAAAAACGAGTTAAAAGGTCCTGAACAGGGAAGACGAATCAGATCAGTGAAAAGGAAACAAACGAGAACGAAACATACCTCAGAAGAGGGCTCAGACAATTCTGCTTCGAGAGCTTGAAATTGAGACAGAACTCGTCGGTACTCAGCACGGTCTGCCGCCACCTCCTCCAATGACCGACGACTACATTCAAGCTCCTGGCTCCGAAGATCCAACGACGAAGAGGTGTTGCGGAGGAGGACGGTCAAGGTCGAAACCTGACCCTGGGACTGTGTAAGGAGCACTCGGAGCTCCTCTACCTCCGTCTTCAAACGATCATTCTCCACCCTTAGAGCGGAAGAAGCTTGGGAATGAGGATAGGGGCGCAAAGGCTCCCAGGAACGCTGGAGAGGCATAAGGTTCAATCAGAAGAAAAAAAGGGAGGAAAGGTAAACTGACCTGCTGAACAGGAGGGGTTTTTATTCTGCTCCTGGAAAAATCCTCCACCTCACTTGGAGGCACGAATTGCTCAAACGAACCAGCCTACGGAATGCGATGAGGGATCTCGGTGGAACCCTGAGATCGAGATTGGGGTACAGCCGACCGATGGGAATCCTCAGGGACAAGGTGTCGTACTCCCGGCAAATTGGGATTCTCCGAATCGGGAACGTTAGGAGGACGGAGGACAAGGACCACGCAACGGTAATCTGAACGTCCCTCGACCCAAGGAACCGGAGGTGCGGTGGGGGACAGCCTATCCACAGCCTGTTCCGGACGTCGACGCTTGGGGGTAGAACCAGGATCCACCTTGATAGATCGTTTGCGCTTTTTCGTAACTGGAGCATGAGGCAGGAGAGAGGAACCATCAGCTAACGGGGAGGTACGAGGAACCGACGTCAATGGTCCAGGAACCAACAGTTGGCGCTGACGAAACTCCCGAAACTCCTGACGATCAAGCTCACGCTGATCCTGATCATCCAAGGGATTCAATTCAAGAAGTGCACTGGTCGAATTAGTGCTCTGTTCAACGCGATCGTAAAGGACCCGCCACTGCTCAGTTGGGAGGGAGTAGCGGGTGCGCTGACCCGGGTCTCCGTGGACCTCCAGAAAACGACGAGCGAAAGCCAAGTCGCGAGAGCACTTACGGGAAAAATATCGAAAGCGCGCTAATCGTCCAAGGACACACGGCTTTTTATCATCGCAGTTGCTACACCGAGCAAGATGAGGAACAAGTGAGCAACTGCCTTCCTTTTTACCTCGAACGCAAGTGGGACATGGCAGACCCGCAGCAGCCAAGGTAGACCACAACGGATCGTCGACGATGTAGCGTGCAAGTGAGACCCCCACACCAAAGACGGACTTGAACAGAGATAGCTGGCCAAGGGAGGGTTCCTCCACATCAGAGTTGCGTCAAGTTGGAGAGGAGGGAGGTATGCCAAGAACATCGGAGACCGCGGCAGAAGTAGAAGCGTGAGGCGCAGACATGGCAGTCAAGTTTTACTCGGGTGATGATAGACAGGAAGATAAAGAAAGCAGACGGGGAGGGAAAACAAACTTATAAACGAAAAATTTTCGATCACGTGGAAGCCACGTGATATTTCGAAGTGAAACCTCCTCGGAGGCTCGGAGGAGTAAAAGGGGGGGGGGGGTAATGTCATGCCCTGTCCCGAAAGCTCCCCTTGTTACCCTCCTAGACATCCCAGAACAGTGTATCAGCTCCCTTACACCTCCCAAATAACCTCCCATAAACCTCCATGAACCACGGAACCCTAGCTAACCTAACCTCCATCTGAAGCGACAGCTCCGCGACTCGCGTACGCCGCCAGACAATCCCCTATCAATTTAGCCTCATGGGTTCCGCACTTCACGCCAACCCCATTAGATGCTCGTTTACTACAATGTCCCGTTACTATTCAGCCCACCTATATAAGTATCCTCTGTAACATAAACGTCCCTAGCTTGGTATATTTTGAACACACACCCTTTACATAGGTCCAGTCCCTGTCCCTTTGTACCTGCTACCTATACGGAATTCTCTTTACTCTCTATTTCTCTGCCTCTGTTTCTCTCAATTCTTATCTATCGTCTCTGTGATCGTCTATACGATCCAATACACGCTTTTACTTCACGTCTAAGCAATCCGAGTGAGTTCCCGAGCTCCCTCGAACAATCTTTTCACCCAACACACATCAAGGCGATGGGTCTTGAAGATCTCGAAACTCTCAAACGAATCTTTTCACAGTCAAATCAACTGGCTGCAGTCACGCGATATATGAGCCGCTACCACCACAAAGTCTTCATTGACCTTTTCTTTCGGCAATAGGATTCTGATAAATATGTGAATCTTGGGACCATGCTTTCCAACAACTACATCCAAGTGCTCCACATCCTTGAAACTGAGGCTGCGGAACTGGCGCATGACCTTGAACAATTCAACCTGACGGAATCTGATTTGGAGGCAACGTGGGTGAACCAAGCTAGACATTTCAAGGAGCTGGGAAAAGAAACGTGCGCAGGAGGTCAATGATGTTGCGTATGTTGAACTGCTACAACAACTGCGAGATATTGAGTCAGTCATCATCATGTATCTAAATCTTTTGCTACGGGTCTTTCTTTAGAGCAGCCTTGGAATGATCTTATACAACATCCGCATTCAAGAGCCCGAAGATTTTGAGCAGCTACCACCCCATTCCTCTACTCCTCGGGGCTATCCAAAACTCGTTGTCGCTTTCTTGGAGAAGAAGCGAGACAATGTCTTGTGGGAGATCCTCCAGATGGAGAGTCAGATGGATGTTACAGCGGCAATGGACCCTCTGGACTCTGAGTACAAGGTGGCCCTCAAGTATGACTGAATGCAAATACCTCCAAGCTCTGGAGAACCTGCATCTTCTTGTTTATGAAACAGCTTTTGAGATGCACAATCTTAACATGTTGGGAACAGGTGAGTTTTTATTTGCCAATCTCTATATTGGATTCTGATCTATCTTGCCATCATGTTAGGCTACGAAATGAGAACTGATATTGCTCAAGCACTTCAACGCGCGAAAGCTACTCGAAACACTGTCAACAAAATACAATAAGCATGTTGTTGCTAAATCCCCCTTGTGACACATTCGATTGGACAAACTTACCCACTTTTTGATCAGTTTGACATCTTACGAGACATGCGGCACAACATTTTCCTTGTACCATGAACTTATGAACCGTGTTCATAAGGTGAGTAGGGTCCGGGAGGAGATCCACCGCATTACATTGAGCTCCGGCGCCTTCACACCCAGATTGTTAATAAAGAGAAACTTTTTGCCAGTACTTTGGAACATCTCAGGGGGGCTGATGTTAGGACCGGTGCTCGAATATGTGACCCACGGGAGGTCAATAAATTACTAATTTCTCGCATCAATGCAACCTACAACCTTCCAGGTCTCACATGGACTCCATATATGATGAGAGCATCAACACTGTCCACGCCCATATCCACATACAACCCATCGGCATCTGAGATGCATGAACCCAATACCTCCCCACCTACATCGCTTGATCACAATGCCAGTAGATCCAACATTCCACATTCACACCTGATGATTAACAACCGCAGTTTGAAGATCATAATTTGGAGGATGAGGGACCTTTGGAAGATGACAATGAGTTTGTTGATATGGGGAAGGTCGTAGACTTCATTGCGGAACCATGATTTTTACTCGAACTTTTTTGTTGTCCATGGTCCTATATTTGCTTAATCTCGAATTTTTTGTTGAATAACATGTCATTTACTCTGTGATATTCTGTTAAGCAAAATCTTTCCATTGATACCATTGACATTACAGTAAGTAGTCCTCTACTATAATTACGATGCAGTAGTCACCAAAGGACATGAACTATCCTCATTCCTCCTCAATTACACCAGAAGCTCCTTTGGTATTAAATTCTGAATTGAGTACACGCCAAGCACGTTGAACCTCCCGGCGTTCTTGCTCTTTGAAAGCCAACTTTTCATGATTTTTGATGCGGTATTTTTCCTGTGATTTTCGATGGCGGTCTTTAGCAGCTGCTTTGACATCGGGAACAGCATTGTGTAGCTGGTGGGATCGCCTATTGGTGTTGATGGAATTGCATTAGGAAGCATATCAGCGAGATTCTTACTTTTCATTCTAGATTTGTGTCAAGTCCAGCCCTTGGGCCTCCATTCCGCCGCCCGGTATTCGACATAATCCACCTTTATTGTAATCTCTCCTTATTGTTCTTTCTCACTACACATACCCTTTTGTTCTAGTCCCCTCTTATTGTCTTTTACTTTACCCTGCAGGTACTACATGTATAGCTCCTAGTAGTTAGTCTGGCGCTCCGCACCGATGCTCCGTTCTGTAGATATAAATACTGCCTGTACACTACTGTAGTTCCTCAGTTTAATTAAACTTAGATCTCCCTTCCAACTTAACTCTTCTCTAAGTCTTCAGGCTCAACGCCTTAAAGTACGTTCTACTCTACCTCAGGACTCAGATGTCCTTTAGTTCGCTCCTCGTCGCCGGGGCCAAATTCCTTCAGGAACGTATCCCAATTTCCTCCGAAAGGGGGGTTTTTCTGCACTGAAGTGTAGCAGATTGGGAGTTGCCCAATCTCTGGTGCTTTCTGTGAAGAAGCCCAGGGTGGACTTGATAAGTTTCACTTGGCTTTTGGTGAGATCAGGTTGTTCCGATGCCCAACTTTGAAACTGAGCCATGAAGCAACACGCTTCAGAACCGTCTTTACCCTTGAAAACTTCAGGTTTGTTCGTGCTTGACTTGGAGGATGAGAATTCCTCCATCGCTGTAGCAAGGTTAGCTACTATCTGATGAGCTGAGTCAAGAGATCCTCAGCGGAGGTGATGGGGCAAGCTCGGCAGGAGTCGAAATAGTAGGAGTAGGCGATCAGGAATGGCGAATTGGTAAAAATGTGGTATCTTCTATGGTAATTGGGTTCTGGACTGAATTGGACAGCGCGTGGGGCAAGGCTGAGAGTCACAGTCGTACCAGCTATCACCACCATGGTGGATGTGATGCTGATCTCTGGAGTCAAGTGCGTGTTGGAGAACAGAGAAATCGGTTGTAGCAGTATGATCAAAAGATCTATGGGTGTAGAAGATGTGATGTATGCAGGTTCTGCAAAGACAACCTTACAGTAGACTGTCAGTGCTGTAATGGATCTTGACCTAATGTCACGAAGCGGCAGAGGCGGAGTGAGTAAGGAGGAGGGAAAGCGGGAGTGACTAGCGGAGTGACTAACGGAGCAGGAAAGCGGAGCAGGCAGGAAAGCGAGTGACTAGAGCAGGCAGGAGCAGAAGCGGAGTCACTAGCGGGAGCAGGAAAGCGGAGAGTGACTAGCGAAAGCAGGAACGCGGAGGTGACTAGTGAAGCAGGAAAGCGGAGTGACTAGCGAAGCAGG